CCTCTCCCCCGAAAAAGAACGACTTTTTAAGATACCGTTTTAAAAGACGTTTTTAAAATACCCTGCAAAACGACTGATGATGACAACAGCAATACTAGAATTGCAACAAAACACATTGGTTTTATCTTTTACCTTTAGCCTGACAAAACATCTATCTTCCGAAAAGCGTGTTCAGTTTCGTTTAGTGCGGATACCTGCCGTTCCATATTTTTTACTTTTTTCACCTGTATTGTCGTTCCTGATTCTGAATCCGAAATCCAAAATAGGTCATTCCAGGTAGAAACAACTTCGAAGATGGCGACTGTCACAATAGCCTCGTTGTTTATACTTGTGTTCTTTGTGAACTATGGTAAGTGAACAATGTTTCTCTACATAATATTCTGTTAATTGTTTAACTGATTATGTAGAAAGCATTGTCGCTTCTCGCCGACCCACCTGCCTGTCCAGTCGATCGCTAGACTAGATTCTAGTCGTGAGTAGCGTTTTGAAAATCGGCAAATGAAAGTATAGAAAATAGAACTATACTTCCTACTTCCGTGTTTCTGAAAATTATTACGATCGGGTGGGTTTGTTGACTGGAAACATAAATAACTACCCTGGACGGAGGAGTGGTGGATTGTGTATATATTATAAATAATATATATATGGCAGTTAGGATCCGAAGATGTCAGTAAATGAAAGAAGGGCAGTATCAGTAAGGGTCCATGGTTTTTATATAGCACAGTGATTATTCTCACCCTGGGTGAGGATAAACTGGATATTATTCTCCCCCGGGTGAGAATAAAATTTCACACTATTCTCACCCCGGGTGAGAATAAAGACAGCCTACTATTCTCACCCGGTTTTTTCGTTTTGGGCAACATATAGAGGTCCCCTGTCACTGAGCGCTCCATGCGACTAAACTCGCCTCCCTCCCTCTCTCACTCCGCTGAGCGCGCAAGGCGACTAAAATTGAGAACGGGCGGGCCAGCTTTCGGGCGCGGGAGGCGACTTTTGTCGATTTGGGGAAAAACCTTATCTTTTGACCAAATAGCGTCACCTTTTGCTGCTACAGTATTAATTTATTGGTTCTGTAGGCCTAATGTGGAAAATTTTACTCTTGAATGGTTTAACCAATCAAAATTAAGAAAAAAATAAGCCTATGGTCAAAATAATCATGGGTTCTGCTAGGGATAACAATTAAACATGGGGAAGATTGAAGAATACCGGACCACTCGTACATTATTGCACGAGAAAGTGGGGCGGGTGGTTGGGGTGGAGGAGGGGGGGTTCAGGGGGGTCTCCCCCCTGACAAAAGTTTAATGAATAGATCTACCGGTCCGAGATTCTCCATTGAGAGATATTAAAAACCGGAAAAATCATAAATTCCTAAGGTTGAGACATGCAAAGTCAGTCCGCTCGCTGGTCCGGTTTTCTTCAATCTTACCTAAACATTTTTTTTTTGTGTTGTAAACAAATGCCAATTCTAACATTACTAATGACAAACTTATTATTTATTTATTTAGCTTTCAGTTAAGGCTATTATTTTTAGACTCTGGCAAGTGAATTCCTTTCTGAATTTAGAATATATTTACACTTGTCTAGGGTTTTAGTGAACATGCGTGCATACTCTCAACTCAAGATTTTTAAAAAATGAAACAATAACATTCCCTGCGGGAGTCTAGAAAAATCGGCCAGCGCTCTGGGGCAGGTCACGAACGGTCACGCTCTTACAATTCACCAATTATTTTCTATCATCCGTTTTCAACACCCGGGTATCTAAAAACCCATTGAATTCTCAGACCGGGTGAGAATAATATTCATTTTATTCTCACCCAGGGTGAGAATAACAATATAATATTATTCTCACCCCAGATGAGAATAAAATGGATATTATTTTCACCCCGGGTGAGAATAACGACAGCCTTTTAGCCTTTTTATAGAACTGACTGGCCGTCATTTGCATCAGCTCTTTCTCTCTCTCTCTCTCTCTCTCTCTCTCTCTCTCTCTCTCTCTCTCTCTCTCGCTCTCAGCTTCATGTAGTACCTCGAACACTAGTCCTTACTCAGGTTTGAGAACTTGCCCTGCCGCATATTTTTAGATAGAAGCTGTTTGTCCCACAGTCAGGAGCAAGCGAAGCTACAGGATGCAGTAGATGTGCTTTTAGCTATTTAAGAAGAATGCTTGTGCTCACTACTCTTTGTTTTTCTCAACAGGGGAAGCAATCTTGTGTCATCGCTGTATGAGTTCCATGGGTGGCTGTGGGGACAGTGTTGTTTGGCGCATGTACCCATGGAAGGACTGTGGAGACAGCTTCTGTGTCAAGGTCATTGAGAAAGTGCCAGGTATGACAAACTTATGAGAAAGGAGTCCATTGATAATGAACTGGCCACTTTTGTTCACTTTTGCCTGTGTGCCTTTAAAAATTATAATATTAACTCATGATTAAATCTGATATAGGGGAGATATGCCAACTTTTCATGACACTCATGTAGGCCAGTGATCAAACAAAAACCATGTATGTGGGTTTTTAAAAAATCTTGATCTCGTAATAAAAATGTTTTATTTTTATTTGGGCCTACTATATATTAAACACCACCCTTTGGGTGTATTCACAGGGTCACCACAATATCAATGATTTACAGTAGTAACCTCGTCTACCAATTGCTCATTTTGAGACAGACACCACCCTATCCCCACATTTCAGTGTAAGCTTGTATATATTTCCTCCCAAGATCATTTCCATGTGAGTCTAGTAAAGTACTCACTGGTGCACTAGACAGTGTTTCACTTTCACAGGCACATGTGTCAAAGTGTGGTGGTGATGAAAACATGTCAACTTTTTCATATTTTGGGTTTGTGCTGTAAATTTTTTTGTTTCAACCTGCTTAAGCCAACATAAATGAAAACATGTTTTAGATTCTTTTGGTCATCTTTTAGACCCGCATGTAGTGACCTTAAAATATTTAAACAGAGCGATTTTTCTTTGTCTTGTTTTAACCAAGGACAGGAAAAAGTGAACAAGCTATAGTTTCTAGTTGACTGATAATAGACTTGGCTGGACAGGGGCCTTGGGAGTAGTTAGAGAAACAACTCCCATTTAAGTCTGAAGATTTTAGTATGTTTTATTTAATCTCCAGCTCTATGATTCTCCAATTGAAGGGTAGGAATGAAGTTTGACGTAACCCGCTTGTTCAATGGGATTTAACTGCTGATTGGAAACTATAGTAAACTTACATGATATATTATATTATTTCAGTAATGAAAAGCCCAGTGTCCTGTATTTGTGGTTCCAAATGTTCGTTGATAAATTTGACTTGATCCTTTTTGTATGACATTGTTTATGTAAAAAAACAACACTTCTGTTCAGTTTCTTTGTTTGTTTTGTTGCAGTTGGAGTAGCTAAGTACAAGTAGGCTAATTGTTTTAATAGCTTTAAATTGTGCAAATAAAAAAATAAAAATTCTCATTGCATGTCCTTATATTTTTTGTTTTGTTCTTTCAGGTGAAGAACCCAGGTATATTCGTGAGTGTGAGAGGAATTTGTTGAAGTCCACTCGCCATCGCCTAAGAATGCCTGTTCTTCGTCGCCATGGTTACTGCGTTCCAGCACGTAAGAATGACCCTTTCAACCCTTTGGATTCCATCGACTCTAGATTTACATACTGCTTCTGCAATGACTGGAATGGATGCAACACTGCAGTCTCAAATACGGTCTCTAAAGTGATGATGTTTGCACTTGGAGGTCTAGCCACATTTTTTGCTTACAGGATTTTGTGATAGCAGAATTGCTTTGTCGAAATCAAAGAGAAATGACAAAATTAGCCAGGTTTGAAGGCAGCATTTTGGAGGAGTTTTTAGTGAAAACAACTGGCTAACCTGATTTCACATCCACATGACACTTTGATAGACAGGCCTTTCTTTTCCGAAGTTTAGATTTATCATGAACAACAGATTTAAAGAAATTGTTTTGGTGAAGGTCAATTGTTGTGAGTGCATTGATCTGGGATCATAAATTGAAATACTGGATGAGGCAATTGCGAGATTTACATTTTTCGCAACTTTTCTTTTTGGCTAGGGCACTATTTATAGAGCTGTAATAGCCTTTGGGGGTCTTTTTGCATGTTTTGTCCCCCCAAATTTTGTTGTTCTGTAAAGCTGTCCCACCTTATGTAGTTCTTACAGATTTCTCATACAGTAATTTGGTTTTTTAATGTTTCAGAGCAGTTTCTTTACTCAATAGTTACATGGGGGGGGGTCTTGGGGTTTTTTTTTCATTAAAAAGAATTTTAAACTCAAAAGTGTTTCTAAATTTTTGTTTTCAAAGCATCTTTAACCTTGGCTCCTCAATCATTTGATACTTAGGTTTTGGGTTAGAAAGGTTGACATAATGTCCCTATACAAGTGAAATAATTTTTAAAAAATGATTTTTGTTTATGTTTATGTTTTTCTAAAAATATGTTCCTGTCTTATTTTTAAACACCTTTATGCCCTGGCATTTTTAGAAGCAAGCAAATAAAGCTCCTTTTGGTGCCTAAAACTAAATTGGAAACTTCAATTATTTTCTTGCTATAGTCACTGGAAAAAGACATCATGTTCTCTCCAGGCTGCTGACAAATTCCAAGTGCCTTTGTTTTTAATGAATTGTTAACAATTTCAGCAAATATTTTGAAGACGCTGCAAATCATTTATTGTCATTCAAATGCCAGTACAACATGTACTTTTTCACTTTCTGTGACTGTAACTTGAATGACTGAACTCTGTTCAGTTAAGTTGGCTGGTAACAAAAGTTTACGTAGCCCTAGGGTTCCGAAGTGATAAGGTTAGTGAATGTTGAGTGAAATCATGCGAACTTTCAAACATTCCAGCTTCTGTTCCTTATACAGTGTCAGTTTTAAAAAATCTTTCACTTCGTCATTAAGCAAAGTACAGTAGTCTACGCCTAAACTCACAGTGCTTGGGAGGTCTCCTTAGCGTGTGTTTATACGGAGCGTGCGTTTACATAAACCTTTGCAAGGGAAGGAAGGGACGCAGTAATCTCAATTCCTTAGTGACCTAATTAGAGGGTCATTTTGGCAGATAATGTGACAACACGTGACTGTTTTGTAAAGGATTCCCCGACCGGGGTTAAGAATACAAAGGCGTTGAATGGGGGGGGGGGGGGGGGGAGAAAGACAGACTCAATGTAATGAATATATGAACTATTAACGTCGGGAACAGATAGCCTAAGAGGAAACTGTTGGTGATAGTCGTAATCATAGAGACGACAGACCAGCCACGTGGCTCTCCAAGCGACCACCCCTCCACCGCAAATTCATGCAGAATCATTCTCTACATTCAGAGAAATATTTCTCTTTTGATTCGTTGAATAAGTTCTTCGAGCGCAGCTGATCAGGCTTAATTGACTAATCTTTAATCCTATAGAGGCCTGTCTAGTGTTTTACGGTATTTACGCGTGTCGCATATCAGGCTATGATCTAACTAAACATTACACGCAGTCAATGAAACACCAGTCAGAAACTTTCTCTCAAAGATACATTTCCAGTGACCAATCAAAAAACATTTCAGTCCCCCCATCCCCCCCCCCCTCCAACTTTTCACCGACTAGTCCTAGACCTATGTGTCAGTGGAAAGTTGGGTGTGAAAACACTGTCCATCACACTTTTTTCGGCGTGAGGGGCACGCTCACCTATTTTGTAGGCTTGTCTTCTGCAGGCTGTGCAGGTTGTAGTGAAAATTTCCCCTGGTCAAGCTTTACCTGTCGGCGTGTTTTGAGGATCGGAGCGTGGGTTTAGAGGGAGTGACCGTGCGTTTGTAAGTCTAAATTATAGAGTAAAAACCCATCAAATAACGAAAGTGTGCGTTTGAGCGGAGCGTGCTTTTGTATGGTGTGCGTTTAGGCGGAGACTACTGTATCTTCATTTCATCTTGTACATAATATATGTTACCAAAAAAACAATACTTCTGTACATTTTTACAGCTAAATTCATCATTTGTAGAATATAGTATGGTATATATGTGTTGACTGAAAGTCAATTTATGTTGTATGTGTGTATTCTCTTGTGAGACCAAGAGAGAGAGAGAGAGAGGGGGGGGGGGGGGACTTTCGTCTGTGAGGATGGGTCTGGATATGGTTGTTTTGTATGTCCATTTGCCAATGAAAACAAAGAGCTGTATTTGGATGACACTATGACAACAAGGTTGTTGTGCTTACAAAAAAAATATTGTACTGATTTTGACAGCTGCTGTGGTGTACGTAGTTTTAAAAAAATCAGCCTGCCATTATGAGTGAGTTCAGGGCTGAATCAGACAGGGTTCAGAATTGTTCTTGATCATCAAATTTAAAAAAGATGAGAAGAAACAGACAAGTTGGCGCTTAATCATTTCTACTTTAGCTGTTTTACTCTTTTTATCTGGGCTACGACTACAAGTATACTCGTAACGAGGACCAATCCTGGCTACGAGTACACTCAGAACAGCGATACGGTCACATCGAAGAAGCTGGTTCTGCTTGTAATTACCAAATTACGCGAATACGCTGATGCTAGCTCTGTCTGAATATTTTAGTCTTCCAATGAACAGGGGTTTCTTTGTTTTTGATGGGTGTAGAAGCTTGAAAAATGTCTCGAAAACGCACGTTCCCGACCGATGAAGTACTGTTTGAATTTGCGCTGGGTTGTGAGGGGGAGTGAGACTAATTTGATGAAAGTGACTCTGAATCAAGTGCCGTAAATTCCGTTGTGGATGATAACAAACTGGACTTAGACTCATCTAATAGCGATTCAGATCCTGGTGAAGGGGTCAGTACTGAAATTCGTGCTGTATCGATGGCTGGGGCTAGATCTGTAAAATCCAATGGGACTTCGTGTGTGCGGCGATCAAGGTCAAGTTGGAAGGTGGAATACACCTCAAAGTCTACGTCCTGCAATTGGTGTAATTCCTAACCACATACGTGTACAATAGCTACATTCAATTTCTAACATAACTGCCAAATTTCCTTAAAACCTAAGAGTAAACATAAGGAATAGAGCACTTTGAAATATACACCCTGAATTTCAACTCATATGGCGTGGTAGCCCCAGGACGGGGACAGATTCCACGGGGGTACGGCCAGGATAAAAAGAGTTAAAAGGTAGATAAGATTTGGTCTTATGCCTTAATGCTTGGTCATTCACTCATCGTTGTCCTCAGCGTTTGCTTAGTTACTTAATTAAGAGTCTCTTTTTTTTTCACCCTTTTTGTTGATGATGTGAAGAAGATAGGCCTACCGCTGAATTAAATTGGTGGTCATCTGATATAAATAATGCTTTATATTTGTAATAGTAATAGAAATTGACGACTACGATAACACGACTTCTTTTCTTTTTTTGTCATTTATTTTTAGTTGATTGATAAGTTTTAGTTTATAAAAATCATCTTTCTGTCTTATTTATCTGGAGCAAAGACTTGAAAGTCAGATTTTTGTTTAAGTTTAAGCGTTCATCAACTATTGACACTGTCAACTTTCCCAGCCTATGTCACATTTCTGAAGACTTTTACAAATAGGTTCTTATTTCCTCACGAACAAAAACTTTGAACTAAGTTTAAAACAAGACCTTGTATTTGTAACCAAAAAAATGTGTATGAAATGTGTGCAGCCTGCTTTTCTAAGATGATAATGGTAGAAAATTGTGTCCTGAAAAAGGGGGAATGGGACTTTTAGTATTTAGAAGGTAAAGAATTGTAGGTCAATGAGAAAATTTGAATGAAAATTTCAGAGTCTCTCAAAATATTGTCATGAGTATAATGACATAAAACATTTTCCTGTCACTTCTTTGGGTTAGGGGATTCTAACACTGTAACTGTAATCATTTGCTTCAGGTGCTTCTGTGCTGAACACTTTTTCGTTTTCGTAATCGTAATGTGCAGTTTGATAAAAATGTAACATGTTGTTGAAAAATACATTCCTTTTCTGACTCTAGTTGTGCATGCATTTGAAGTTCATTGTACTGAGGCATGATTGAAACAGAAATGTATGTTCCTTGCAAATATGTTGATAGCTGCAAAAAGTGTACAGTGATGGATGCTTCTTCTTATAGTATTTTTTTATAATAAAGAGAATGCTCAGTCATTCACCTCATTTTGGTTCAATTTGTGTTTCTATCTTGCTTTACGTTTAATGCTGTTGTGTGTTACTATTATACATAGGGTATATATATATATACTGTATGTCTGCCTGTGTGCATGTGCATTTTATTTGTGTCACGACGTGGTGGAATGTGGCACTCGTAAATTTTTGGGCGTGTGGAGTTATTGATAGATCTAATCTGAATATTATACTTATCTATTTACCTTGCTTTCAATGAAAAAAATACCCATTTATCTTGAATAGAAGTTGAGATATTTGGGATTGAAAGAGGTGGGGTCACCAGGTTTCATCAGTAAAATTAGCGCGAGAAAATATAAAATGGCCGCCTATGTTTGTTAATTTCAATAGCTTGAGAGACCTTGAAAACTTAAATGTTACATATTTTGTGCCTTTAATCAACGTTTTTCAGCAACGTTCACATGGAAATGCAGTGTTTGTCTACTTACTATGAACATAACAGGTGTTTAGCCAAAAAACAAAAATTTGATAAAAAACTGACAGAAAAAATACCTGTTTCTTTGATTTCATTATTTTGACGAGCACCCGGTTTCAATTTCACCATGCTGCCTCACACATATATTATATACAGTGGAACTCGGATTCAACGAGGTCGTTGGGCCTGACCTAAAATCTCGTTGAATCCGAGTGTTCGTTTATAGCAAACACGAGGTTTTGTGCAGACAATTACATGCACTGAGCAAGTAATGTATAAAGAGAAGTCACAAGTAGTTCAAATAGTGCCTGAAATGCCTGCATATTATGAGCTGTGTAAAAAAAAGACCGATTCGTTCAAATACACAAACCTGTGTCATCTCGATTGTTTACCAAGAAAAAGTTGTTTTGTTGTGTAGAGCCGAGCATACGGCAACTTTTGATTCCATAGACCAGCGCACAATTCGTTACGTAGATCTACATCAAGACTAGCGTATTATTGTAATAATGATCAGTTGCCGAGGGAAAAACAGACTGACGCGTTTGTATATGCGACGTTCAACGCCCGGACCGCTGGTGCCCCCCCCCCCCCCCCCCCCCTGACACAGTCACACGTGTGCAGGCCGCCCATCCGACCCCGACACACGCCAGAGTATACACGTGCGTGTGCCAACAACGCATGTGTTGGTATGAAAAAAGGCCGCTGATTGGTCGTATTCAATCGGCTAAGTGAACAATAGTTCACGATGCAGGGCAATGGAGGGTTTCCGGGAATAGATAACGTTCGTTCTGGGAGAAAAAATGAGCGAAGCCACGTCTGTGAGGGCTGTTTCCCCCCTGGAAGCGACCTCGTTGAATCCGAGTTTGCTGATTTAAGTGCTTGTTGAATCTGGGTTATTTTTATTGATTTTAAAGAAGAAGAAAAACAGGGAATCTATCTCCTCTCGTTGAATCCGAGTTTTCGTTGAATCCGAGCTCGTTAAAT